AATTTTGCTAAAGTTAACTGTAAAGAAACACCTGCTGACTTGCAGTTTAAGGGGAATCTATTCTCCCCATTTCCAAACCATGATATGAATGGGCGCTGACATGTGGAGAGAATAGATATTTGTATGTTTGAAATGTGTGTTTTAGATAAATAGGATTGGGTATTTAAATTATCGTATTTGTGAATTTAATAGCACTAAGATTATCTTCAAATGAAATATCTCAAAATTCCTATTTGGTTTTTGTGCATTTTCTTTGACAATGTAATCATGATTTTAGTGTGTTAGATTTGCCGAGTCTTAGCAGTGTTTAGAACATCTCCGTTCTACATTTACCTTGGTCACATTTAAACTGCTGCCATAGTTTTTGGGTGTAAAGGATGTCTGCTGCCCTCTATTTAAATTCTGAAAAAGGGTAGTGGGTGTTCTCCCCCTCCAAGCTTAAAAAAACATTGTTAACTTATTTAAGATAAGGTCCACTAAGCCTGCTACATTGGAGTAAATAAGTGGGTATCTGTTTTGTTTTCTTTTTAAAGCACATGAGGCCCATATATCTTGATTTATTTTCCTTGGTTTAATTTTTCCCCCTTGCTAAAGCTTTCATAGCAAGAGAATAAAAATCATGCTACGGAACCCTCAAATGGCTGGCATACTTTCCTGATTTTGCCCTATACATTTTGCTGAATAAAACCAAGGATAGTTCAGGTATAATTGTTGAAAATAACTCAATGCAGCAGAAATGTAGCACAGTTGCTCAGTACAAGCTTCTCACTTCCCAAAGACCTGAATTCCAAATTTGGATAGCCTGAGTTTTTTTTGAAATCCCAAAGAACACATTGTTATTCTTTATGTATATTTCAACCTAAATTATGTTGGTGTGAGTTATCAATTTGTTTGAAAGACCATGATTGAGAAGAGTTATAGATGATAACAAGGTCATATATACAGAAACCAATGTTTACTGTTTAGCGCCAGCTAGTGCTTAAAATTTCATTCAAGCCCTAAGTATGTGCCCTTCTGTTATTCTTTCTTTGGTAGTTGAACATTGAATTCAAGATTTTTACTTGGTTTTAAAAGTACTAAGCAAAACAAGCAATAAAAAGGGTAATGGGACGTGCTAGTGTTTGAATATGCTCTCTTGTTGCTCTAAATCTGTGCCTCTGTGGATTATTAATATTTGGATACATGCAATGCCAGCATGGAAATCGGTCTTCACAGATACTGCAGTTTTCCAGAAAACACTCACAAACCAATAAATGTAACAGACAACATTCCATTTGTTAATGGGCATATGTGAATAAGCAGTGTAGAGAATAGGCTAATATTAGAAAATGGTTAAGTAATTAATAACTTCAAGTGTGGTTATATAAATGGATACTGTAAATATTCATAACTTAAAACCTTGGGTACCTGGTCAAACTAATGCTTGGGAAACATTTTATTACAATTGAGCAAAATTAAAAAAAAAAAAAAA